GTTTGTTGTTTTGTTGTTTTTTGTAGTTGTTTTATTGTTTGTTGTTTTGTTGTTTGTTATTTTGTTTTGTTTTTTATTGTTTGTTGTTTATTTCTTGTTGTTTGTTTGTTGTTTTATTGTTTGTTTGTTTGTTGTTTTATTGTTTGTTTGTTTGTTTGTTGTTGGTGGTTGTTTTGTTTTTTTGTTGTTTTGTTGTTTTTTGTAGTTGTTTTATTGTTTGTTATTTTGTTGTTTGTTTTTATTGTTTGTTGTTTATTTCTTGTTGTTTGTTTGTTGTTTTATTGTTTGTTTGTTTGTTTGTTGTTGGTGGTTGTTTTGTTTTTTTGTTGTTTTGTTGTTTTTTGTAGTTGTTTTATTGTTTGTTATTTTGTTGTTTGTTTTTATTGTTTGTTGTTTATTTCTTGTTGTTTTATTGTTTGTTATTTTGTTGTTTGTTTTTATTGTTTGTTGTTTATTTCTTGTTGTTTTATTGTTTTTGTTTGTTGTTGGTGGTTGTTTTGTTTTTTGTTGTGTTGTTATTTTTTGTAGTTGTTTTATTGTTTGTTATTTTGTTGTTTGTTTTTTACTGTTTGTTGTTTATTTCTTGTTGTTTGTTTGTTGTTTTATTGTTTTTGTTTGTTGTTGGTGGTTGTTTTGTTTTTTGTTGTGTTGTTATTTTTTGTAGTTGTTTTATTGTTTGTTATTTTGTTGTTTGTTTTTTACTGTTTGTTGTTTATTTCTTGTTGTTTGTTGTTGTTTTGTTGTCTGGTTAGTCACATTCACATCTGTCACTAAATATTTCACTGGTTTATTTTTGACCCAAACAGTCCAGAAGTTTTTTGTTGCTTCATGCTTTTGAAATACTTGATGGTTAGCAAGCACAGCTGTTGTGTGCAGCCTGCTGAGACACCTGGTGTCTGAGACACCAGGTGAGATACCAGGTGAGACACCTGCTGAGACACCAGGTGAGACACCAGGTGAGACACCAGGTGAGACACCAGGTGAGACACCAGGGTCTCTGTGTCCAAGTCAAGAGACAGGCATAGAGACACGGTGAGTGTCCCTGTTAAGTGGGTGAAACATTTATATTTCTTTGCAAATTTTTTACATAAATTTGTTCAAACCTGCCATATTTGATCTACAAAGATCGGCGCCCTCTATGGGTTGAACAGTGGTACTGCAGCTGAATTTTCCTGTTGGTTAAAATGATAAAGCCTGTTTTAGACACGCCCCTGCAGCGAGTCAGGTTGGAACAACAGCACCACATGAAGTTTGTTGCTGCTTTGAATATTAGACTATGTTAGCATTAATGCTAACATCACATTAACACACTCTCACACTGTTACATTCTCACATTAGCTATGCTAATCGTGGTAGACAGGCTAAACCGTTAGCCAAATAGCCTGAAACCTAATAGCACATGTCCAGTTTTATTGTGATGCTAAAAGTTGATGCTGTCAGGAACAGATCCAGTGAAAAGTGTTTAACAGATTTTATTGCACATTTTCTGCTGGTCAACAACTGCAAACTCAAAATGTGTCAACACACAAAGAACACACACTACATGTAAATATTGCACAACTTGTGATATTTGTTATCATCTCTGTGGCTGTTYAAGGAAGGAAGTCGATTCAGCGTTTTTAGAAACAGTAAATATTGCAGAAACTGTCGACTCAGTGCAGTCATCCCAGAACCTGTCAATGAGAAGTTCTAATTGTGTAACTGATATAATATGAAGTAAATATTGAAGTAACACAACAGAACTGTGTATCTGGTAAAGTCAGGTTATTAACAGAGTCTGAGGGACTGAGTCTGAAACCTGAGCTCAGAGTGTGTTTTCATCCTGGACTCATAAAACCAGAGCGTGACCACTCTGCAGCTGCTGCAGTATGAGCTCCGAGTGTTTGAGCTCCGAGTGTTTGAGCTCCGAGTGTTTGAGCTCCGAGTGTTTGAGCTCCGAGTGTTTGAGCTCTGAGTGTTTGAGCTCCGAGTGTTTGAGCTCCGAGTGTTTGAGCTCCGAGTGTTTGAGCTCCGAGTGTTTGAGCTCTGAGTGTAACCAGCAGGACGTGTCAGCTGGCCTTCACGTGCACACTCTGAGTCTACTCTTGGCTGTGCACATTCTTTTGTGTCCTGTCTTTGAGGAGTCAGTACTTTGGGACATGTCGGGGACATTTTGGGACATGTCGGGGACATTTTGGGGAAATGTTGGGGACATTTTGGGGAAATGTCGGGGACATGTCGGGGACATTTTGGGACATGTCGGGGACATTTTGGGGAAATGTTGGGGACATTTTGGGGAAATGTTGGGGACATTTTGGGGACATGTTGGGGACATGTCGGGGACATTTTGGGGACATGTTGGGGACATGTTGGAGGGTCCTCCAGTCTCCAGCAGATGCAGAAGCACCTGAAAGTGTCCGGCTGGTGGTTACAAACAGGAAGCTCCTCGGCTGATCTTCTCGTGGCTTCGGCTGTCTGTAGAGACCGTTTGGTTTTAGCTGAGTCAGTGTTTGTCCCACATGTCCCCACCTCCTGGCTTGGACTGACCCCTTCATGTGGTCGAGGCCAGCTGGTAATGTTTACAGCTTCTGAGCAGAGGGGGCGGGGCTGAAAGGGACGTGGGGGGGGGCTGTTGTGACAGATAACTGAGTTTATATCTTTAAGATCAATTTTACTCATTTATTGTAAACAGGAAGAGAATCACCGTGTGTGTCCTCAGTGTCTTCCTCCACAGGAGAAACAAAGACTTGTTTGTGTTACGTTGTTCAGAGCTGACAGAAGAGGCTCCGCCCCCTGGGCTGGGACCACGGTATTAATAAGAACATGAGTTTGAACACGTGGAAGTTCCAGGTGGTGTTTGGGTTCTGGTTCCACTCAGGATCTGAAGAGTCAAACAGCTGAGAACTTCAAATGTTTTCTAATAGAGCTGTTTGACTACAGTGGATACATCTGTTTGTTGTTTTTGTTGTTGTTGTTGTTGTTGTTGTTTTAAGCCCCGCCTCCATCATCTCCTCACAGTTTCAGTCATGTTTGTGTCTTAAAGCTGAACTTATCTTGGTGTTAAATGTCAGGATGTTCAGTGTTTATAATCTGCAGCTGATACGCCCCCGCCCAGCCTGGTACACACACACACACACACACACACACACACACACACACACACACACACACTGAACGGTTCCATATGGACCAGGTCCTTGTGAACAGAATATTTATTTATTCATCCAGCTCCTTCCTGCTGCTGCCTGATCCAGAGGAAACAGGAAGTGGATCCTGAAGGCGGTCCTTGGAGACACTGTGGGGACAGGATCTCACTTCCTGTTTCCTGCTGACCTTTGAGCTGTGATGTCCTGACCTGTCTCCATGTCTTCAGTCAGATCTGTCCAGTTGTGTCCAAGCTTCAGAGACACTGTCTCCACCTGACAGAGCAGACAGCTTCCACTCCAAGATCAGTCTGTAATTAAACATTAATCATCTTTAATCATCATTAATCATTAATCATCTTTAATCATGGTTGAGTGTGGGCGTGTAGAGGGTAGAACCTGAGGAGGACCTCGTGTTCAAACTCTGACGTGTGGCTGTGATTTATAAAGTAAAGATGCAGAAACAAGCGTACGCACCGTTTTATAAATCTGAATTTTTTGCCGTACGTTCACTTTTATTATGGTTTCCACACAATCCTTTATAAATGAGAGCCCAGGTGTCTTCACAGATGTCTCCTCTTGTCCCAGGAGGACTACGACCGTCTCAGGCCGCTGTCCTACCCKATGACCGATGTCTTCCTCATCTGCTTCTCCGTGGTCAACCCGGCTAGTTTCCAGAACGTCCGAGAGGAGTGGGTTCCTGAGCTGCAGGAGTACGCCCCCACTGTCCCCTACCTGCTCATTGGGACACAGGTGGGTCCTGCTCGTCTTCATCGTCCCAACACTTCCAGAGCTTTACCCGTGTCCCTGCTTCAACACACCTGTTCACTGTCTGAAGCACCTGTTCAGGTTCTACAGAACCTGTCAATCATCCTCATTCAGTCAGGTGTGTTGGAGCAGAGGAACCTCCCACACCTGCAGGACGCTGGTCCTCCAGGACAAAGTGTCTGACTGACACCAAGCTTTAGGACRTTTAGAAAATGATGGTTGTTTTTATTGTGGCTGGTTCTGGTTCTGGTTCTGGTAAAGGAGAAGCTTTCTGAGTGCAGGGACGGTTGGTGCAGGACTGAGAACCTGGTGATTGCTCAACAACAGGAAGCATGGCTCAACACGGCTCCTTTCAAAATAAGAAACCACAAGTCCAAACTGTGACCCGTCAGAACCGAACCTTTCAGATGAAATGTCTCTTCTACAGATTGACCTTCGTGATGACCCCAAGACCATGTCCAAACTGAAGGACCTGAAGGAGAAGCCCATCAGCCCGGAGCAGGGACAGAAGCTGGCCAAGGAGGTTGGTCCTATTAACTAATCAGAACCATGGGTCCAGTCTATTTCCTGGAACAGTCCCACACAGAAATGTTAGAATGAAAAACATTTTACTGTCAAATATTGGGATGGAGAGGTGGGTCCTGTCCTCCCAGGGCCAGGTAGACCTGGGCCAGGTGGGTCCTGTCCTCCCAGGGCCAGGTAGACCTGGGCCAGGTGGGTCCTGTCCTCCCAGGGCCAGGTAGACCTGGGCCAGGTGGGTCCTGTCCTCCCAGGGCCAGGTAGACCTGGGCCAGGTGGGTCCTGTCCTCCCAGGGCCAGGTAGACCTGGGCCAGGTGGGTCCTGTCCTCCCAGGGCCAGGTAGACCTGGGCCAGGTAGGCCTGGGCCAGGTGGGAATAAATGTAAATTTATTGAGTAATTTTGATGTTGATATAAAGAGGAAACATAAATATTATTTGTATATTAAGATTTCSCAGTTGGAAAGAAACAAAAACATTGCTAACTCCCAGGGAAAATTCTAAATTTTAAGGCGTTTTTTCCTAAAAATAAAATTTCTTGTTGCTGCTGCTTAAAAAAATGCTTCAAAAAGTTTTTAAGGTTATATTTCAGACAGTTCATTCAAATGATACATTGATGAGACATTAAGTTATTGTTTTGACAAAATGCAATTTTTGCACACGTTTAGATCAAAACACCATATCTGCCTGTTTCTCCACTTTTAGACTTTAATCCTGGTTTCCATGTGACCCGTCACATAATTTATATTTTAGGAAGCTTCTTGTGGCGTTTCATCATTTCAGAAAGAACCTTTGGTTTATTTTCACACAAACAGATCCGTCACAGCAGCAGGCTCTGGTTCTGATCCGGTTTCTCTCGTCTCTTCAGATAGGTGCGTGTTGCTACGTGGAGTGTTCCGCTCTGACCCAGAAGGGTCTGAAGACGGTGTTTGACGAGGCCATCATCGCCATTCTGGCTCCGAAGAGAAAGAGAGGCTCCCTGAAGAGACGGCTGGGACCTCGCTGCCTCAACTGCTGCCTGATCACGTGATGTGAAAGCTCTCGGAGAACGTTCTGCAGAACATGTAGAACGTTCTACAGAACATGTAGAACGTTCTGCAGAACATGTAGAAGATTCTGCAGAACGTGCTGTCTCCTGAAGGGTTAGTCCTGGTTTTGACCCTGAAACACCACAGCCTCCTGCTGCTCCACGTTTCTTTTTCTAACCAGAGGAGATGCGAGTCGGGTCATCCTCCTCCTCCTCTTCTTCAAGACTTGTTTTGTCAACAGAACCTTCTTTTAGAACCTCTGGAACCCTGTTTGTTTCTGGAGCTGGATGTTGTCAGGTGGAAACACAAGAGACTCAAAGACTTTTCAGGTTTTAAAGAAAAGCTACGTCTGAAGACGTCACCTGGTTCTGAAAGACCTTCCTACATTTTATCTGTGTGAAGTGGAGACAGAACTGCTAACCAGCTGCTAACCAGCTGCTAACCAGCTGCTAACCAGCTGCTAACCATTGCTGGAATCTGTTTAAGTGAGGTTAGGGTTAGGTTGGGTTAGGTTAGGTTGGGTTAGGTTAGGTTAGGTTGGGTTAGGTTAGGTTAGGTTGGGTTAGGTTAGGTTAGGTTG